ATATTACAATTTTTTAAATTTAAAACCATATACAGTAGAAGTTATTTCAGTAATATCTTCCAAGGAATTACTACTACAGTCTAAAACAAGTGTATTTAGATTTAAATTTCTACAATAGGATAATAAATAATATAATTTCAACAAATTTCTTGATTCAGTAAAAATGCTCGAAATTTGTTTGAAAATTGGAAATTTCTTCAAAATCTTCTAAATGATAAATTTCTAATATTTAATTACGTAGCTATTTGTATTTATAAACTTTGCACATAGTTATTTAAAATCAGTATTAGATAAATAAATATTTATTAATATATTAATTCTTTTAAATATCGCTTACTCGGCGTCTTTTTACTCATATATAAAAAAAAAAAATGAAAATTTCCTTTTTTTATAAATTTCAATTAAATCAAGTTCAATTTAAATCACGTCTTTCTTTTATAATTTGATTACGTTTAATTAAATTTAATTATATTGACCATTAAATCCTATTTTATATAAAGATTACGAAACAACGAAGATTTGCAATATATCGTCGTGAAATTTAAGGTATTTATATTATCTACCTTTTTACATATCCAAATAAATGACTATTTTTAAACACAATTATTGATAAATTAAATATTTATACAACCTCCTATATATGTATATATTTAGTATCAGAAACTAATAATACTACTCTAACGTATAAAAAATGTACTGTATTTAAAATTTAATTCATAGCCAATGTTTTATTAAAAATAATACAAATTAAAGAGTTTGAATGTATCATTACTAAATACATTTTATTAAACATAAATTGATAGAAAAAATTTTATTACTCAAATAATAATTGAACGCTCTTAAGTAACGTGGTAAAACATAAAGTTAAATATTCGATTAATGAATTATATATAACGAATTATATAGAATAAAAAGTCTATGTAAATAATAAAGAAAGATATTTTTATTATAGAATTTGAACATCAAATTTTTACACAAAAATTAATAAGAATTTTAATTGTAATTAAATTCATTTTTTTGTATTTAAATTATACAATAAAATTATATATAATAGTATTACATTAATATATACATTGTAAATTTATTTCAAATAATAATAAAATATTAAATATTAATATTAAAACAAGTAAACTAAATTAAAACCAGTCATAGTAAAAATGTAAATGAATGCTTATATTTTTTCTAATATATGTGTATATGTTTATATAAATTATATATATATAATACTTCTTTTATATAAATATATAATATTTATATTCAATTTTTAAAAAGCTAAACTTTGACAGGCATAAGAATTCCTTTGTTTGACATTTATACTAAGCCACTTAACTAAGAAATAACTTAAATAACAATTTTCTCTAGAGAACGTTGAAAAAAAATATTGAATAGCTAAAGAATGTTGTAAGGACATACTAAATAAATTCAAAATAGCAAACCTTCGGACTACAAAATATTATAATCAACAGATTTTTGTTCCAATTGAAAAGTCGATTTCTATAAGCTATTTTAATTAGCAAAGAAAATTTTAAAAACAATTTTTTTTTTTTTAACAATGCAATTAGTAAGCTTTCTCTTATAACTAAGCATGTAGCTCAAAATTTTATTATTTCATGTTTTTTATAATTGTAACATATTGCCTTTAAATTATTTCTACACATATTTTAAATTATTATAATGTTATCAAAGATTTTTTAAACAATATGGATGTATTAAAACTATCATATTTTTTTCGTGTTCATATAATCTGATAAAAATGTTATTTTTTTTTTTTTTTTTTTTGAGACAGTAAACATAGGATGATTAAAATTATAATTTCTTCTCTATATATATGAAAATAATTTTATTAATATACGTATTTATTGTTTTTTTTTTTTTTTTACTAAAATTTAGCTAATTATTATTATCTCTTTATAATTAATCTAATTAAAACAAGATATCTCTTTACATATTATTATTAAATATTTAAATTATATTTAATTGCGCATTGCAGTTCAAACTTAAAAATTGCACCTTTTGCACTTTCAACATTAATATTACTCAATTCAACTTTATTTATATATTTATTAAATTAGATTCAAATATAAACTTATTGATTTATTTATTTATTAATCGCTTGATGGAATAATTTTTCACTATCTTTTTCATAACATAATTATTAGAAATAAATAAAGAAACTTTTCTAACATTTTATTTTTTAATTATTAATATTAGAAACATTATTATTCTAATTCATTATATTTTATTTTAACTATCTTCATTGTTTGCATTGCCAGAATATATACTTTATAACGAAGACATTATCGTAAATGTTGTAAAAATGTATTAATTGTATATTAATAAATAAAATAGTTTAATTTTATATAATATTATATTATCATAGGCTCCCTTTTTTGTGACAGAGACTTTTTTTGTTTTCTCTCTTCTATCCCTAAAAATTTTAATTAATTGCAAGCACGAATAATGCAATAATATTAGCTATTATTAAATTATTAAAATCGATTTAAAATACTTAGTTAAATATAAATAAATCATTATTATCAAACATAACATGAACTAATTATGAAAGCACTAGCATTTGCAATATTCAATTGAATATTATACAAATACGAGTTCATGAAAACTTTGACTTTTTATACTTACTTTATGAAAAATAAAAATAATTACTATTGTTAATTAGCATTTAGTTAACATATTACAAACCTATCTAGTAATATAATTCACTTTCCTCGATAAATTAATGGATCAATACAAATTAAGTATTGATCAATTGATTACAATAATAATGCTAAGAATGACAATATAAATAGGAATATTTATTAGTAAGTTGAAAAAAATGTTGATATTCTATTATTAATGACTCATTGCAGTGATTAAATTGTTAATGACGAGCATAAAAATAATTCAAATTGAAGTAGCGAGAAAGATAAAAATGGAAAAAGGATAAAATACTTCTGGTTGGGTTTATATATAGTATATAAACATATAAAAGAAAAGGACATAAAGTAAAATAATTAAGAAATATCAGATGAGACTCGAAAAAGCAGAAAAACATGTAAACAATACATAATATGCATATTATATATATATATATATATAAATTAGAAGAATATAATATAAAATAGACAATAATACAATAAATAATATAATAGATGGAAAAAAGACAAGAAAGTTTTAAACTAAGGAATCAAAGGAAATCTGAAGAATAATAATCAAATGTACAACTGCAATACGAATTATAATAGGAATAGATAAATATGTCCTCTTAGATGCGATGAATCTAATATTAATAATAAATTATTAGTTATTGTCAGGAAATAAATGCTCTTTGCTAACTTAACAATATATCCAAACAATAATTAAAAATACATTATATAAAAATAGTCTATTAGTTTATATAATTTGTGATTTTTAAATGTAAATAATAGAGGACAAATAAGAACAAATAGTTGCAAATAAAATAATAAAAGCAGGTAAAATTGTAAAGGATTAGCTGAGGGTAGAGAGAAAGACAAAGAGAGAAAGAGATCAATGACACTTTTGTAAACATTCTGCAGTAAATATGGACAATTCTACACATAATCACACACACACATACACACACACACACACACACACAGAGAGAGAGAGAGAGAGAGAGAGAGAGAGAGAGACATTATAAATAATTAAGATATTCACTAAGAAACTACCATTTTGGATTTTGGAAGTGTTGTATATGAAAATTACCTTGGAAAATATAAGTTACTACATCTACTGTAGTAGACAGAAGAATGTACTGAAATTCATACATTTATTAAATATTCTTTGGTAATGAAGAGGAAAAACAAACAGATTGGGCAAGCACCTGCATAGGATAATAACTGCAAGTGGCTGAATGGAATTAAAATCGAAGAAAAATCAAACATTGGAAATTCAAACATTGGCGACGACCTTTCGACAATATCCCCATAACTTTTAAATAACAAAGAACATAAATAGAAGCGTAGAAGAACAAAAGGTAAAAGCGATTTAGAATCAAAGATCGACGGAAGAGAGAAGTACACCTATATGCTATTATCAGATTATTCCAATATTGTCTATAAATCTAACAAATACAGCATTTAAACTTATTCAATAAGTCACAGCCAAATTCATAATTTTCATGTACGTTTAAAGCTATTTCGTAAATTATAGTTTGATGCAAACATCAAGTTCTCTTCTATTTTCACATAATAGTAGTTATAAATTAGAGTGAATAATTAGACTAATAATAATGCAAAATATATATATTAAATTTTTGTATTTATTATATGATTGTTAATGAAATAGAATAAAGTTATATAAAGTTTAAAATAAATAATTTATTTCAAAGACAGTGATAATGAATGATAACATATTAAGATTAATTTTAAGTTTTACTTTCAATTATATTCAATAAAATCATAAACCTATCTGTATATAAATTTACGAATCTTAAAATTGCCCAATGAAATTGTCAAATGACATTTGTAATTCGTAAATATGTTTATAATAACATTAATATGAAACATACATTTTTAATAATAAATACTAAAAGCTTTAATTGAAACATCTAATTGTTTGAAGATTTAAGTTTGAATTATTAAATCCTAAGCAAAAAATTGATCAAAATATAATTTTGACATTCTCCTTATTTAGTTATTATATATATATGATAATACAAAATAAAAAACTACAAATTAAACTTTCTTATTTAATTTTATTTGATTATTATATTTTTGTTTTTTATTAAAAGCTTTACAATAACAAGGGCTTATATAATATTTAAAAATAAAAAATTTTTCTTTCAACTTATAGGATATTATATAAATTAATATAATTTAATAAACGACAATATTCAATTGACTGCGTCAGGAATAATATTATTAAAACTAATATTCTTTCCTTACATTTGACTATAAAATATAAATAGATATACAGAATAATAAATAAATCACTCATACAAACATTTTATACCATACAATATCGTCGAAATTATACATTTATCATACATTGTTAATCCACTTACTATAAGCATTAGCATCTTTTATAATTTTGTCGTTACATGTAACATAGCAATTTGATTGATTATACTTTTCATTACTACAGTCGTTTTGTAAATAAATCATAACATGTGGTGAGAATTTCGAAACAATCGAGCCGCTAATATGGGTGATTGCATTATTCTGTAAATAAATTACGTTTAAGAATGGTGCCGTAACTATTGATAATTGTTCCAACGATTTGAATTTGTTGCCACGTATATCTAAAGTGCGCAAATTTAACTGCCACTTTAGCCAATCAGGCGGTATAAAGTCCAATCCATTATTCGAAAGATCCAACTCTTCTAATGATTCTAAATCCTCAAAAGAACCTGCCTCGATAATATTAATTTCATTACCCCCTAATAATAAACATTTTAATTTCCTTAAATTCTTAAAATGTTGACGCTTTATTATCTGAAGCTTGTTCCGTTTCAAAGATAAGTTTATCAAGTTATTATTTCTGCATAAATTTGGAATAGTCCGTAAATAATTATCATCGATGTTTAGCTGCCGCAGTAAAACTAATTTTTCAAATGTATCGTGTTTTATATCCTCCAAATTATTTTGAGCCAAATTTATGTTCATAAGTTCAAGGGCATCTTGGAAAGCACACGATTCGATGTCCAAAATTCTATTCTGAGATATTGTTAATGTGCTCAATTTATGAACCCCTTCTAATTTAAGGGACGTGTCCTGACAATTGTTATAGCAAATTGTTTGAATGATGTTCCCATCAAGATGAAGATATTGCAGACCCCTCATGATCTTACAATCTAATGAACTTATTAGATTTCGCTCAAGATAAAGATGAGAAAGAGTTCGAGGTAAATCACGAATGAAATTTTGTGTATCCACATTGTTATCCGAAAGGAATAAATGTGTTAGTAGTGGAAAAGCTTTCTTCAATGAAAAATTGAGACTACGAATGTTATTTTTACGCAGGTATAAGTAACGCAATTGCGGAAAGCAATTAGCTTTACCGATCGTTTTGTCAATGTTGTCGATTGGAGGTTTATTCTCTTCAATAATTAGCGTCACCAAACGCGTATTAGAACTACCGAAGTTGAAGAAATCACAGAATTGAATTCGATTTTTAGATAAATCAAGGTAACTGAGATTAGGCAATAAATCAAACGATCCTGGCACTACCTGGAAAATCTCATTAGATGCGAGATTAATACAAGTGACTAGGACACTCTCGATAAATCCTGGGTAGGGATTAGGCGGTGGAACGATTCCCAAATTTGGAATATTTATTACGATAGTTTGATCAGACACATGCTCGCATTTACCAATAGTAAGATTCTGTTCACTCGCAGCAAAACGATTTAAATTTATTGATTGGCGAATATTTTTTAATGGAAATTGAACAGACTGCGATTCGACATAATAAGATGTAGAGGTCTTCAATAGGCAAAGAATTGAAAGCGATAGAAGTCCTGCTGCACTCATTGCGATCTTGTAATCTAAATTAACAAAAAATAATAATAAAATTAGACATTCTGATCTTTTTGCTAGTTGCCGATTGAATTAATACAAAAAGCTAATAATCATTTTTATTATTTTTAACAATCATTTTAGATAATTGTACATATATGCAACATGTAAATTATATTTATATATTGTTTAAGGTAATGCCTAAACGCGTGTTAAAGAATTTACAAATATTACAATATTATAATTATAGTACTTTATATTTGTATTATCAACGTTATTAACGTAAAATTCACTATATAAATGAAAGATTGTTTTTAATATTTTATAAGTTATAAAACTGCTGATGATAAGTTGAATTCTTAAAAAAAAATTTACATATATATGTATATGTCATTATATATATATATATATATATATATATATATATATATTTATAGGGAATTATTTCTTTGAAATTAAATATTTTACTGACCCTAATGATAGTTACATTTTACAATATTCAAAATTAAAATAGTTTTTATGAATAATATTTCAAAAGCAAATTATTCGTTCTTCGTTCTTGGCGGAAAATATTATGCAAATATTTAATTTCTAATATATATTTAATAGCTATGATTTTGTCATTTCATATTTTAATATGAGTTGTTGCAACTTTTTAATTATGAAGATAAAAGGAAAAAGTATCAAAATTACATATCTTTGATTTCAACTACAAAAATTTATTCCATAACAATAAATTTTTATCTTAGATTATTATTAGATGGTGATTATGGTTGTTTAAAAAATAAATTTAATATTTTCAGATCCTTAGCATATTATTTACTTATTATATACTATTTAAATCCCTGTTTAATAGATATATCGTGTATTATAAACAAATCATAACCGTTCTTATAGTGTATGATTATTAAAATGAATAGTGAACTTACGTGAAACTTTTATTATTGGCTTCGTGAATAATTATATGTGGAATGCGTTAATTTATTAGAAGTTAAATGCTTTTATGTGCACTCAATGTAAACGAATTTATTTTTAAAGCATAAATATTCGATACGAATTTTTAAAATTACTCTTAAACAAGACAAAAAAGTAACAAGGTTGTCTATATCTTAATAATGAAGGACATGTCAAATTATCAGTAAAAAATTAATTTACAGTTACATATCTAGCTTATTTTACATTATTATTATTTTGTTATTATTTTGTTATTATTTTGCTTGAAGCGATGTGAAAAATTCTGAAAAAGAAAAAAATCTGACGTGTTACAAAAAAAATCTCACCAATTATTAACAAAATAGGAACTACATAAGCTTTGCTTATCTAAGGTCACGACTACAATACGTAATTTCATTTGTTTAAATCAATAATAATTATTTTTACACTTAATAAAATTGTATTATTAATAAATAGAGTTATTCGTTAATACATTAATTAATTATTCAGTCTGTTTAGTTTACTTAGCACTCATAAAATGTGACCAATAAATATAATGTAAATACAGAATGCAGATACAGTATGTAGATATTACATTATCTACTTGGTAAATAAAACATATTCACACGATATAAATCTTTTTATAATTAACAATTTTTCATTTTATTAATAATAAACAATCACAATGACCTAGAATACACAAATGTATCTATACGCACAAGTATGTATGGGTGTTATCATTTAGTAATCGATTGTCTATTAATATTGAAACATATCTGAAATCTACATGTTATGATATTTTTCAATGAATTTAAATTTTTAAATATTAAATTTTTCGTTATTTTCATTGCAATTTCATTGACATACTTTACTATTCCGTAGAAATCATAAATTATTAGATTATTATTCATTCGAAAAGTTCAAGCATGACATTACGATCATCCGTAAATGTATTTTAATTTTGCCTATAATTCTTACATTGTCCGTCTTAAGATTGACAATATCACGAGCTAATGTTAATTAGTACATTCAATGCTTAAATTCATCAACGGTATCAACAGCATATAGAACAGCTATTTTAAATAACAAATAATTTCTAATAAATTTAATAAAAAATACATCATTCAGTAATATAAGTATAGAATGTTTTTTGAAGTAAACAAAAGTATTTAATTCTTGTTTCAAAATTGGAATACAAAAATTTCAAACATTTATTAAAAGAAAAATTACATAAATCTGCATGTTTTTTAGTGTCGTCGAAAGATTTTACATTGATTTTAGTAATAAGTTATTTTATTTCATAGTCATATGTATTATCGAATTTTTTATAATGAAAAACAAAATATTTTAATAACTCATTAAAAAATATACGAGTAAATTTTAATAAGAATTACATTAAAAAAAAAAAACAGAATTCTTGCGCCAATGTAAAAATATTACTTTAAAATTATTATTAAATTTACTAAAAGTCTTAAATTTATTCAATATATTGTGTTATTAATTAAATTAAAAATTCATAAAAAATTTTTACAATAAACAATAAAATCATTTTAAAATATTGATATCGATGATCGAAAATTCAACCGAATTGTGTTTATAACAAGAAAAAAAGAATTTTTAATTTCTAAATTTGTTTAAAAAATAAATTACAAAAACATATATATATTTAGATATTTAGTTAGACGTAAACATTTAATATTTTTTCTAATATTTGATACTTTTAAAGAATATAATTATTTAATAGCTGTAGAAATTTATTTTGAAAATCAATGAAAATTTCAAAATACAAAATACAACTTTTAAATATATCTGTCGAACATCCGGTTTCGGTTACGATCGTTCAACAATAAATACGTTAGAATATCAAAGTACGTTAATAGAAATATAAGAAATTGAAATCTCATGTTTTAGCTACCAATGATATCTCAATAAATGTACTATTTCTGTATTGAAGAAGTTCAGTGATAAATTATTGATAAATATCCTTACACTTGACTTGTTAAACATATGTTTAACCTTTTAATACTTAGATCATAGTACGTCATATAATGAAATACTTTCATAAATGTCTAAATTGCTATTGAAATAAATATTATTATAAAAACCAAATATATTTCAAGACTTGTGGTTTTATTCTTTAAAGTAACGTATTATATTTATAAATGTATTTGCATAATATCTGGTTCTATGAAATAATATTGTTTCATACGATACTTTTAAATTAACAATTTTTTTACTTAATATTACAATACTTATCTAATCATTTTTAGTTAAAATAATTATCCTACTTTTATAAGAATTATTTAATCTAAAATGCTCTAATTTACAAAAAATTAAAAAAACGTATAGATATATTTTTATTAACTTACATTATGAATTAAAAATATAATCAATAAATAATATTTCATTTATTATGAAAAACAATAAATACTTAAATTTCATGTTTTTTTATTACAAAAATTACAAAAAAAAAACTTAATAATAATTATTAAAAACTTCGGAAATCATCTTACCTATCCAAAAATTTATATTTTTTTCAATACAATATGATAAAACACAAAAAATAATATTCTCAAATTATCAAATTATTAAAGAATAATGTTATAAATATATTTCTATAATATTAATTGATTACAATTCTTTTAAATTAATGTTTTATAGTATTAAAACAAGATGTAAGATGTTTATAATTTAAAATTTACAAAATAACAAAACTAATTAAATTTATAATTTTTTTTATCTTGAAATATTGTTAATTATATTTAATAATATATACTTTTTTATAAACTCAAAATTATTATTACTCAAAATTATAAAAATGCTTATTTTTTTTGGAAAATGACTAAATGACTTTTAAAGCGTAAAAATTATATTTCAAATACATAATATTATACATTAATTATAAATTAAAAAAAAAAAATGCCTACACAGATAAAAATACTCTTTTGAAACACTAGAATCTAATAAGTAAAATAAAAATTTATTCACTTAACACAATTACATTGCTTCAAGTTTTATAACAATTTCAAAATACAAAATTTGTGAATTTAATTATATTTTATTTTGGAAGTGTATTTGAAAATCTTTAATTTCAATTGATTTTTAATCGATTTTATTTATAATATAAAAATGGAAAAATTTTGTGTTCTTTTCACAACTTTATATTATGATTTAAATTATTAGTATTTTTACATTAATTGTATATCATTTTTAGAAAAGTTATCGTGTATATACATGTAGATATATTTTAAAGGTAATCAAAAATATTATTTATAACAAATAAATTATTCATTTAAGTTACTTCATATTTATATAAGATATTATGTTAAAGGTACTAATATCTTTCTTTATATTGAATTTTTATCTAACGTTTAATTAAATTATATATTACTATTAACTTGTATATTTTATAGTTATTCTTATTATTTATAGTGCATATATTTAAAAAATTTTTTTAATTGAAACCTTAACGAATATCATATAATTGTGACGAAGATTTTTTTAATACTTTTTGAAAAGTGCATCTTATTATATCTTATATATTGTAATATTTGTTATCTCTCTCTCTCTCTCTTTAACTCCTTTATCTTTTCTATTCTTGATTTCTTAAATATTAACAGCATTTTATAAATTAATATAAAAGTATCTTAAAATAAATTGATAATTCTTCTGACTAAAATATGATAAAATGATTTCATTTATATAATTATAAATATTGAAAAATTATATAATAAAAGGGGTTAAATATAAACCATATTAATAAACTATTTTAATGTCATTTCTTAAGTAAACTTAAGAATAAAATCTTTCATGAAGGCAAAAAATGTTTATAAAAAGGCTTATAAAAAAATATATAAATTATTGGTGTTATTCAAAGAATGGATAGTTCATTGATTTTTATTTAATAGAAAATAAACATCGATAAAATATTGCTTTCGAGATATGCTTGAAGTTACTATAATTACAACTAATCATCGCAAAACTTATTTCTTATGTGTACTATTGTATTTACTATAAGCTTACTTAAATTTGCATTTATTAAAATAAGAACATACACCTGGAACATGATTTTCAAGGTAAAATACCTAATAAATTAAGAAGATTATATTTATAATAAAAAATTTTATTTATTAAAACAACAGCTTATTAACATTTAAATTTTTAATTACATTTAAATAATTATTTTAATAACAAATATTTCGTTAAATTTAATTTTCAATCTGCTCCTGTATTGAAATTATAACAATTCATAAATTAAAAAATTTGTTATGCTAATCTTTTATGTACAAATTTTATAAATCCTATATTTTGTTTCTAATATCTTAAATAGAGGCTATACTATTTGTAAAATGTTATTTTACGAAGTTGTTATTTTTCAAAACTTTTTATACAATTTGAAAGTGAAATAGCATGATGTTGTCAGGTCATGTTCAATTATTATACCAAATAGTACAACTTGTTCTTATTCATGTGAACATAAGAAAAAGAAAATTCAATTTGAATATTATAATTACCTATGTAGAAATACAGTAAATTTTTGTCCATTATAAATAAGATTTGAAATTAAATACATGGATATGGATTACTGTCAATATGCAGTAATCTGCAATATGCATGTCAAAGGTATTGATAAATTTGTTTAATATTATAAAATTTTATAAACGAGTATTTCATAAATATTAACTGTAAAATGATAACATAAGTTTGTTATCATATAGTTAGACAGTGTAAATTATTTTTAACAAGAATTGAAAATTAAAAGGGTTTACGAAGAAGTTGAACTATTTATTTATTGCTCTTGCAATTAGTGAAACAGATTAAAAATATTAATAATAACATATATATATGTAATAGCAAATAATAATATGTACTATTAGATCGGAAAATTTTATACAAAAGTTTTACTTAAAATGTCAATCGGTACATTATTAAAATATTCGTATTAAAATATATATATATATATTAGATTGTTTTACATTCTTCTGTAATTTTAATTTTTTTTTTTTTTTTTTTTTTTTTTTTTTTTTTTTTATAAACATTAAAAAAACTAGGATATTTTATTCTTATAAAATATCAATTGCGTAATTTTTATTAATTAAATAATATATTATATTAAGACGATTCCACAAAATTTTTAGATGGTACATTTGTTGTTTGAAGAACTTTACGCGATATTCTCATAACACCAGAAACTGGATCTCTTCCGAAATATTTAACTTGTATTTCTGTGCCAATTTCGAAATTTAATGCACTTGGATGAAGTATTTTTCTTTGATCTAATTGAGAATTATGAAGAAGCGTTGGTTGCATAGTTGGATATAATATTATCATTACGCCATTTTCTCTGATTTCAACGATCTTTGCGGTATAAATGCCTCCGAATTCCAATAGAGGTTCAGATACTACTTTAATGAACTTATCAATCATTTCTTTTGCTTCATTCATGGCATTTTCATTTGGTGCAAAAATACTGAATTTTGAAGGCTCTTGTTCATTTATCTACGAATGATAAAAATGATTAAATTTACTTAATTAAACTGACACTGCAAACAAAAATAAGTAAATAGAATTTGTTTTAAACATTGAAAATCATTTATATGTATATATATATATATATATTTGAAGAAATATTGAATATTTAATGGAACAAAAGTATAAGGACAAAACATTTAGATATTTAAACAAATTCTTATTAATAATATTATATAGAAAGGCCAAAGCAAAGTTGTAAACATTTAATAGTTTGATGAAAAATATAAAATATAATTTAAAAGTAATTAAAAATTAATAGTAATACATTAGGTACAATAATTATTAAAAATAATGTTTGATAAATACTTAATAAATACCATTTGACACACGTGTTGAAATTAAGTATTTTAATCAATTAAATAGTTAGATAAAATTTGAATGCAAAAATCATTCAAATTAAAATTTTCGTTATTATAATATTCGTTAAAATATTTTTTTATCTTACTTATAAGCCATGCAAAAATTCCATTAAATTTCATTTTAACTTTTGTTTAAAGTAATAACTTAATCAATATATAATGAAATAAGTTTTGCATCTTACATGAACTCCAGTTTGAATATATATTTTTTTTATATTACTTCCACCAACACCCATCAATTTTCCTTTAAGGTGAGGAGCAATTTCGATTAATTCAACAATTGGCATATTATCCTTTTCTTTAGATCTTGGCGATGATATCGTTTTATTCATTATATTTATTATTACATTTTTGGCATCGTTAGCTTGCACAAGACTCTCCATCAAAATTTTTAATGGAAGACCTGGAATTTTAATGTCAGCTTGGAAAGATGTAAGTCCCTTTCTCGTTCCTGCTACTTTGAAATCCATATCTCCCAAGTAATCTTCAATACCCTATGAAGTATAATTTATATTAAAATTAATTCATCTTCAAACAAACAATTTATTATCTAATGATATTATTATAAAATTAAACTTACTAAGATGTCTGTCAGAATTTTATAGTCGGTAATATTTTTTGTAATTTTATCATATTTTGTCATTAAACCAATAGCAACACCAGCTACAGGAGAAGCTATAGGAACACCACAATCCATTAGAGCTAAACTCCCAGCGCACACAGAAGCCATTGATGATGAACCTTAAAATCGATTATATTCATTTTATTTCGAAATTCAAATTTATTATCAATATTTTTTATGATTTATGCAATTTATGAAGTAAAATTAAATAGAAAATTGAATAATAATAATCTTTATGTTGTATTTTATAATTATCTTTTGTCTTCCAAATTTTAATTTATGATTCTTAAATTACTGACTCAATTATTATCTTAAATATCACGTATACATAATACTTTATCATTTTCTTCAAAGATTTCTTAATATATTTGTAAGAAATTTCACAAATAGATAATATCATAAATAAAACTAGAGAGGTGATTATTATATAGTTACACCATTTGATTCTAAAACTTCGCTAGTTAATCTAATTGTAAATGGAAAGTTTTTAGGAACTACAGCTTGCAATCCTCTTTCAGCAAGAACTCCATGACCCATCTCCCTTCTTCCTTTAAAGCCAGTTTTTCCTGTTTCATTATTGGCATAAGGGGGAAATTCATAATGTAAAAAAAAATTTTTTTCTTTAATGCCACTTTCTATCATTGATATGGTATCCATTTTCAGACTGCTATCTGGCGAATCAAGTGTTACTGTGCAAAGAACTTGAGTTTGGCCTCTTTGAAATAATGCGGAACCATGAAGAGGTTTGAATAAATCTACTTCGCATGAAATTTTTCTAATTTCTTCAATTTTTCGGCCATCGCACCTATCAAAATAAATAATTCAATTACTCTAATAAATTATGATCGAGGAAAACTTTAAAAAAATTTCAATTACTTTATAAAACTATTAAAACTTAAAGTTTACTTTCAAATTAAAAAAAAAAAAAAAAAAAAAAAAAAAAACCCATCCTATATATCCATAGGCATTAAAATACTTTTGCAATTCATTCAGTCGTTTAAAAATATTTTTTAAAAAATTGTCTTTGAAATTTTTAAAAATCAATAGATAAAGCGATCATTTTATTATTCTAAATAAATATGTTCGATTTTCCTTAAAATTATAAATCAAATATTGCTAAAACATACCTACAATTACTTTCAAATATAAGAGATCTGAATACATTCTTAGTAATGGTGCTGAAAATGTCTCCAATTACCGATGTATCTGTATAATTGTGATTAATTTTTATATTTGAAATTACTTCATTTCGTAGCTCATTAACAGCTTGATCTCTCGATTGTTTATCAAGATGAAAATCTGTAAAGATTTTACGAAGTTTCATTTCAGAAATAGATTGCACAGACTCGGCAATTTCTATCGGAGCTTCTGATACAGGTTCTATCGTTCGTTTTTGTTTCCCATGCTTTTTTTGAAGTCTTTCTATTCCTTGAACAATATTTTGACATTCTCTTACTCCAATCTTTAATGCTTTTCTTAAATCTTGCATCATAATATTTTCTGCACGTCCATCAAGCATAATAACTAAATTTTTAGACGCGGCGGTTACCGTAAGATTTAATATACTTTGTTTTTGCTCTTGTCGAGTTGGATTAATCAAAATTTCATTATCAATAAATCCAAGTCTTACAGCGCCTACCGGACCATTCCATGGAATATCTGACACAGCCAATGCAGCAGAAGCCCCATTGATTGCAAGTATGTCAGAATCATTTTTACCATCTATGGCTAACATATTACACATTATTTGTGTCTCGTATCTAAACTTGTCTGGAAATAATGGGCGTACCGATCTATCGATTATCCTACTAGTTAAAATTTCATGCTCGTTGTAACCCAATTCTCTTCTGAAAAAATTTGTCGGAATACGACCTGCTGCAGCAGCCTTTTGTTTATAATCTACGATTAGTGGTAAAAAATTAGTCAAGGTAATTGTAGATTTACTAACAGTTGTCACCATGACACTGGTATCTCCAACATTGACTACCGAGCATCCATCAGCTAAACGAGCATATTTTCCAGTCGAAATTTTCATTACTTTTCTAAAGCAATATTAATAAATATATATATTATAAAAGATTAGTATCAATCAAAATTATTAATTAAATGTGGTACATAAATTAGTAATCATATTCTAATTTCGAAATTCCGAAAACAAACCGATGCTTCTAATTTTTTGTTTCAAACGCTAAGTAATTGAAAGGTTATTAAATATTTTAAGCTTTCGAATTCAACATACCCATTAGAAAATTGTACAATTTCTGCATTAGTATGCAGAGCTGATTTCAACGCATAACTTTCGCGTCTTTGATAATGACGCAAAAAAATTAATTTGTTCTCTTTTATAAATCTAATTATTGCCATGTTTATTTCTTAATCATGCTCGTATTATCTATTATCATTTTATAAACGCATGCATATGTGTATATATGGATATATACATATGCTTATGCACATAAAGATCAATCCTTAATATTCTAAGAATTTTAATTTATTGTTCAAGTACCGGACTAACGATTAATCTATTATACTGACATTATCATTTATACACGAATGCCACGTGCGTTTTATTTTGTGTTTTACTACTACCACTTTTAGCCAATCGAAGCCGGTTTGCTAATTGTGTTTGCCAAAACATGTGCACTTTCAATTCAATTCTTCAAATACTCGAAGTAAGTCCTTGATTAGATTATAAACCAGAGGACGTATAAAGGGAGGATTGTACAAAATAATAAAAGTGACATACACGCAATTCGAATAATACTGCGAATTGGAATTTTTTTTTAATTTCGCATGACTGTAAGCTGTATTTATTGGTTATGTCGTATCCCCGCCTCATTTGAAATTTTCATTCGAACAAGCGGATTTTTTTAGAATATTCACATTGGCCCACAATCTGAAAAAAATATCGAAGTTATATATAAATAAATATATTTTTAACTAAATGAGAAATCAATAAATTGTTGTAATCAAATTTTCGGCACGACTGAATTATTTAATGTCGCATTATTTATAATTTTATCAATTACATTAAGCGTTGCTTTTCTATTAATGTCGAAAGGTTCGATTGAAAGTGTTCTAATACATCTAATATCCAGAAGAAATTTTAACAAGAAGGTTTTAACAATATTTTTATTATTCTCTTTGACTATCGCTAGTTTATTTCGTTATTTAAATTTATTTTTACCAAGTACTTTACATAATTATAACGTGACATATTACAATACTTTTATCAAATCTATTTAGCGTTCATGAATTTTAATAACTATTCATGATACCATACGAATAATATTTGGGTTGATTATCCGATGTCTATGCTTAAGGCATTAAGGAATCGTCATCTGCTTCACGGTCTTCCCAGCCACATGCGCGCTTCCTAAGCCTCGCGTGCCTCACGTGTGTGCGTGCGTGCACTCGCCTATGCATGTGCCCGCTTTAGTGCAAATGCTAATTATATATTGCTCTTGTATCGTAAACCCATCACTACGCATGCGGATGCGCATGCCCGTGTGTAACAATGTGCGTTTGCGCGTTTCGGCGGTTGGGAGCGGTGAGAGAGATAAACTGACATTTAAATAAAGTTGCAGGAAAAGATTCATTGAATTTACATAGAAAGTCATAATATAGTTAATAATGTAATTGATATGGTTAGATTGGTTATCATTTTAATATCCAATGTATGTTAATTTCGACAACAAAATAATCAATAACACGAAATACGAAGATCAACAATCATCGAGGCTAACCTACGGAAACGATTATTTTGTTCCGTTCCTTCTGTACAAATCTAATTAACTTCAAATTTTACTGCGCAAAATCAAAATGCTTCAAAAAGAGGCAAATTCAGCGAAGTTACACTGGCTCGGCTTCGGAAAAAGTAAAACTTATCGCAGAACCCTATTTCCACGAGCATAATTAATTTACATCATTTTTACTAGCATTATTTGACAATATTGAATGACACGTTTTTGATTAATATTTTAGCAAGTGTTTTTTTCATATCCCACAATGTACAAATTCTCAAATTGGTTTAAATGACTTGGTAAAAGAAATAAGATATACTTCTTTTTTTAAATTAGAATTTTGTACGTGTTTAAAAAAAATTAATATAACATTTGGATAAATCAAATTTATGCCTATCATATTGAATAATAAGCTTATTTGGCTTATTTATGCTATTACTTTAAAGTATTTATATTGGCTAGTTATGAGTTATTTTTGCCAACTGCAGTTTACTCGATACAAAATTCTTAATAGATATATCATAAAAAGATGTTTTCATCAATGTAAATCACAATGTTATTGCATAAACAAACATGATATGTATAATAAAAAAACAAAAATTAGATGGCAGCAATATAGTAAAAGAAAAGAAATCAATGCTAGATTTTTCAAAGAATTTCAACAAAAAAAACAAATAGTAGAAGAGATTATAGAAAGAGAGAATATTTGGACTATTCCAAACTTTCTATCTTTAGGACGAATATTAGCTACTCCCTGTCTTAGTTATCTTATAGTATCGCAAGATTATCAAGTAAATTAACTGTTTCATTATATAAATATAATATTTTATAAGAATATAATACAAATATATTGTAATAAAAGATTAAATATATAAAATAGACATGATTATTTTACAAAATGTTGTTTTTAGTACAGTCAGAGTAAGTTAAAATATTTTAACTTACAGTTAGCTTTATGGCTTTTTGGATTTGCTGGTTTCTCGGATTTAACTGATGGATGGATTGCACGAACATGGACATCGCAAGCTTCGAAACTTGGTAGTTTTCTTGATCCTGCAGCAGATAAACTATTGATTTCAACAATGTTTTTATCATTAACATGGGTTGGACTAATTCCTCAATCACTTACGTGCCTTGTAATTATAAGAGATATTTTTTTGGTAGCTGCTGCATCGAATATTAGATATCGATCTCTGCCAGCACCGGTAAGTTTATTCTGTATATATATATATCATTTAAAATATTTACAATTTTTTATTATAAAATTGATTCCACAATTTTTCACTGTAAGGAACCAATTTAACATGTGTGCAAAAATGTTTATATAACTATAAACTTTTATTTCTTACACATGTATATTATTTAATTTTGATAAATTTTATTTGTAATACTATGAATTGTAATATGTAAGGCATTAAAGATAAATTAAAAAAACATTGGTAAATAAAAACTATATTATAACTCATTGAAAAAAACATTAAAAGAAAATAATTTAAAATTAATTAAATTCTTTTTTAATTTATTTATTAATTAGATTATCTAGCTGTATACAATTCAAATATATTGTCAGTTGTAAATGACTTGGAGTTCAGATTTTCAATTTAATTGAATTTTTAATAATATATAGTATTTTTATAAGCATTAAAGATTATTTTTATAAATTTATTATTATTATCGTAGTATGAAAAATATGTTTATTTGTACAATAACTGTTACCCTTGTTAAAATCTTCATAAAATATAATTTTGTAAAAATAATTTTTTGCTTTAACAAAAGACACGAGTTTCTCATTTATATCAATAAAAATAAGTATGAATTTTACAGAAAACACTATCAAGATTTTTCGATATAACACATGCAACGGTACAACTAGCTCCAACATCAATAAGTAAATTTAATACTGTAGTTCAGTTATTATTAATTACTGGAACACTGGCGGCTCCAGTTTTCGACTTTCTGGATCATAAGTATCTCCAAGGGTTTCGTTACTTCACAGCAATAACAACCATTGCTAGCGGTATAAGTTATATTGTATCAAAAAATACATATACATTGCTCATGAAAAATAATAAAATGCAAATGAAATCTTGTAAAATGAAGTAAAAAACTACCAAAAACTGTTATTTTTGTATCAATCTTTATTAAATATTATTTAAAATTTATAATAGTCTAGTGATATTTATTAACTAAAACTGTTTTATATTATCAATTCGTTACAATCATAATTTTCATATGCACATTCCTCTATATGAGTTGGATCATATTCAACACCAATATAATCAATTTCTAATTGGAAAGGACCATCGATCTTATCTGCTATAGTAACACTAATAAATTTTACTTCGCTTCGTGGCATAGCCGTAGTTAAAGATTGAATTCTACCTTTATAGGTAAAGAAGAATTTCGAAAATGGTATTCTCACGTGTTGCCAGTATGGACCACCTCTAGTCCAAATAAAATATTGATAAATATCATACATACACATGTCAAATGTTCTTTCCATATGTAAATTGATTGTATATATTCGTCCATCGCCTCTTAAATGTAATACTAAATGATTATAAGCATGCCAATCGTACGGCACTACATTTTTAAAAGGATCTAATCTTGCTACTGTTCTTAGATTACAAAACCCTGTATTTTTCTGCTTTCCATCTGCTGGTAATTTCATATCCAAAAATCCATGAAATATACCTTTTGATTCGGGTGTATATTCTAATCTGTAAATATTTCATTACATAAATTAAAATTGATTGGAGTATAGTATAATATTAACTGTTACATTAAATATTAAATTTATTACTTAATGAAGATATAAAATCTATTTGATAAAACCTATATAAATTTTTATTGATTTTTCAAAAAAGAATATTTAATAAATAAGATAAAAAAAAAGAGTAATATCGACTGTTTTATATTTTACTATTCATATTACCATGAATTTATTAATTAATACAACAATGAAACAATTATAGATTACTATTTTTGCATTTACCATAGGAATATAATATAATGTATTATAATATGATAAATATGTTATTAAATGTATTTAACTGCATGCGTACAATGAAACCAATGATTTACACTTCAATTAATAGATCAAAATTGATTCAAATAATCAATGATGATAGCTTTGAAAACTTTACTTACTGTGCTGTTGAATATCCCATATTAAAATCTTTATCCGATGATACAATCCAATTGTTCAATTCTACTTTATCGCCTGTAAATCTCCACTCAACATTAACTTCATGATCATATATAAAATATTGTGGACCCCGAATCGTGTCTTTAATATAATTTTGAATTGTTTCTTTTATTCCTTCTTTATAAAGATTTAATTCGATGCTGCATTTATTCAGAAAAGACATTTTTTCCCATTCTAGCTCTCGATCACTTTTTATTCGTAAACCCTGCTTTCCAGGATCTTCGTAAAATAATGATGTGCATTTGGATATATGAATATTTCTTTTTCCTATATTTGTCAATAATTTAAGGCTTGAAAGCTTCATTCTTAACAAGTACAATTAATTTTAACCAGTTTATGATAACAATTCTTATAATACAATATTGTGGTAACGCTATTATTCCTGACCAATTATTAATACTCTCGTATAAAACTCTTTATAATAATTAAAATATTATCTGTATTATAGATGGTACTATGTACTCACAGCAGAATAAAACATTATATTTTAATATTATGTTCTGCACTGCAGTTTAAAGAGGGGACTAGGGGAGACGAGTAACAATGTTATGGTGTTACCGATAGTGAAAAAATGTCAAGTGAATAGATAATTTTGCGGCTCGAACTTTTTTTTTTTTTCAATTGGAGCTCAATTTCAATGCCCAAGTCTAGCAACGTTTTAATATCAATCCTAATATTTTTATTTTGTTTAGACTTACTGTACTCGGATCATTTGCGCTTTCATCTTTTTACTTAATCTTTCGGAGAAATATGAAAATATTTTATGAATTGTTATATATTAGATATGTAGTCGTGTAATATACTAATATCAATATTCGTTAAAATATTAAGAATAAAGTTACTATTAACTTTGAAATAAACTTTCCAATGCATTGGAAACTATTGTACTCGTCACGTCGTTCAAACTCATTTCTGTTTTCTTTCAACTATAACCTAATTCTCTAATGGTGAAGAAATGCAATTTCTTAATAGATAAATACAAATTAAAATTAATGATTTGCTAAAAAATAAGTTTATATCGTAGATTAATCAATATCATAATTTAAAAAGTAATGGTAAAATTTGAAGTAGTAAAATTTTGTAATGTGTTAGAAATTTTACAAATAAATAAATAAGCTAACTGAATTTCATTATAACATGAGAATGATCAAATGATAAAAGAATGATGGATTTTAGATTTTTATTTATTGTCATTGTAAGACACAAACTATCGTAAATTGTTTCACAATAGAATGACAGAAATTTTATAATGAATAGAAACTCCCTCCTTTTAATAACCGATGAAAAAAATTCGCTTTATACACTTGATAAAAAATTCTTTAATTAAAACAAAAAGAAGAAAAGAAAATTTACAAGCCATTCTTCCATTCCGATATTATCAATAATGTATTATTATAAATAAATAAATCTTATAAATAAATTAATTATATATAATATAAATAATATATGTTTGTTATAAAGTATATCATTATTTTATTGTACAATCATTCCTTGTTTAATTTAATAAGAGTAATGGCGTTTATACAAATATAATTATTAAAAGATCTTAATAAAAGTTAAATAACTGACTTCTTTAGCATTCGATATATTAAACGTTTATTTAATCGAGTAAGTTGTTATTATTAATGATCAAATAAGGAAAACAAAAATACAAAGTATTTCTATTGAAAATATCATTTTTAAATTGAACTCGGCGACTTTAACACAAAGTGAATTAGGAAGTTTCTTATGCCAGTATCAAGAAAATATAAAGTGAAAATGTTCTATTATAATTTTCACGCCGTAAAAACAATATAATTTTTAAAATATAATATTTTTACAATTACAATAATACTTTTATCGAAGTTTTACGATAAAAATCAATTGTAAATGTATTTTATTAATAGCAGAAAATTGTTTTATAAATAATAAATAAAATATTTATATGTTTACTTACTACGACAAGTTGATTTGAAAAATTATTCATAATTAATATAATTGTATGTATAATTTTTAAACCACTAAGATAATTAATCAATTAAAAGCATTTTTGAAATTAAAAATAAAATAAAAGAATAAGATGTAGTTAGCTCTTTTTAAACAAATATTGTGTCTAAAATAAGTAAAATCTGCAATTTTTAAAAATTCTATAATATTAGCAATGTTATTTTATTCATAATAACGACAAAACATACATAATAATAAGTAAAAATAATGCATTCTTTTTATAATGATAGATTTGTGGTAACAATCGTAAAAAAATTTTAAAAAATAACACATCTACCTTGAAAGATATTAAAGAATATTGTGAATACATAGATAAAGTAAGGATTATTTTTCAAACTGATAATTAAGATTTAATTTGCTCCTATAGGACATGCGAAAGCAATGAAACAGATTTTTGCATGCATTATGCAATAGTGCAATAGTGCAATTAATGTAAAGACGTTATCCTGCTTTATTTTTTATATTATTCTATTGCATGCATTGTCACTGCGATGACATTAACGAGTTGTCAATTTTGAAAATTGTAGAATAAAAAAAGAAACAAAACGTCCTTGAAATTTCCCCAATGCATTGACCGAAAAGAAAAATTCAAATATAGAATACCCGACAATCTACTTTACCTACTGAAACAGTTTCTTTATAATTGGCGTCGATGGCCATGTTGAGTCTCTCGCCATTATGATTACGTTTGACATTTCTTTTCAGTTTTCAGATTTGAATTTTGGCGTGCGTTGTACGGTGTCCGTTATAAATGTTAAAGTGAAATAATATTAAAACTTATATAAAAATGTTAGCATACATTAGACTAATTTCATATAACTATATTTTCAATATTTATTTTAACTATTTAATTCGTCTATTTATTATTTCAATGCCTTAACATTCATTTAATACTTTCTTACTTAACCTTTTATGTATTTATTTTTTATTTATCTTTTACTGTTTGTTGTTTTAGGGAGTTTTCGAAACAAGAAAATGTTTCTCGCCAGTCGTCCGTAAGTAATATCATTTTTTGACTAATACGATAGTTCATTAATTTTTCATTCATATTTTAAGCAGAAAATTATACAAAATTAATATACATCATCGGGCAAATATTTCAGATACTCAAACTTCCAAAACAACGTCAACCTTTGCAATGTGTAGCCACCAATTCTTCTTCCTCCGAAAATTCTCCAACTGTAAAAATTAAAAGAAGAGTTAGTTTTGCTAAAAATCGACGTATTAGGTAATAACCACCATCATTTGTTAATTTAACAATCAAAATATCATTATTAAAGTTATTTTAAAATATTTAAAAATTTTATGTTATTTCTAGAGAATTTTGTAACGAAGCTGAACCAGAAAGTGTTTGGGATGATACCTACGAAGAACATGATTTGAGCAGTACAAAAAGTAATTGTAGTAATACCAATGAACATCCAGTGATCATTAGCGTACCTTGTGATGATAAAGAAAACTTTCCAGTGCAATTATTTTTACAAAATAATCAGCTTGAATGCAAAGAAATCCAAATGGTTAATCAGAATAAACAAGATTATTTGTTACAGGATCATGTAGAAATTAATAGAACGATTAATAATATTGATCCAAAAATTACAGATATTCAAAACAAAGATAAAAATGCTCTTTCTACAATATTTTATAATGATGTTATGGACATAACAACAAATATATCAGTAAATATGCACTGCCGTAATCAAGTGGCTAGTTCATTAGGTGACACAGTTCTGGTTTCGCAAACTTGCACCCAAGGTACTTCTGTAAAAATAATAGAAGATGTTCCCTTAATGTCTGATATTGGCCAAAAAATAAAATTAGATATTAATACTGAAAGTAATTCTACCAAATTCACTCCAGTTATTTCGACATTATTGGAAAATGAATGTTTAAATAAGCCAATAATTAATCAAATAGAAAAAACAACAAACATAAAATATTATTCAGAATCTTGTCAAGATAAAGAAAATTTGTCCAATAGTATCCAAACGAAATTCACGTCAACTCTTCCAAGCTCCGCTTGGATAAAGTCTAATAGACAACATAAAATTGTTGATGAAAGTGAAACTATTAATAAAACAGTAAAAGTTACTAGAGATATGTACAATAATACTTTTGATAATCAAATTATTAACAAAACTATCGATTTATCAAAAGACATAAAAAACTTTTCTAACAAATTGATAGAAAGAATAAATATTGTGCACGATAAATTGAACGAACATAAAGCAATGCAAGAGCAAACTAAAGTTTCCTCTGAAAAATCAATGGAAATCACAGAAGCGGTTCCCAATTGTAATACAAATCATCAGACTAATACTAAGATAGAAAAATTATTCTGTGAAGTATTACAAGATAATGTTAAGAATTCATCTAATCAATCTATAAATATTCCTATAGCAGGCTCCGTTTATAATAGGAATTACCAACTTGGTGCTGGTACAAATCAAGTAGTATGCGAAGAAATGAAAAAAACACCAAAAATACTTTCCAATATTTCAATGGAAATAATTAAAAATGTTCCTACTTATGAGACGAATTACCAGTCTGGTACTGATGTAAAAAATATATCACATAAAATGATAGATGATCAAACAAAAATATCTACCGATAAAGCTATTAATGTAAAAGAAACAGTTTTCCTTGGTAGTCAAAATGATGAAACTAGTGAATACAATAAAATACTAATGTTTAATAAAAAGGAAGAAGAAACTAAAAATTTTAATAACAAATCAATGGACATAAGCGAAGCTGTTTCTATTTGTAATGAAAGTTATCAATCTTCAACTAAGAATGAAAAGGTACATGATGTAAACACGAAGAATAGAACTAAATTGTTTTTAAATAATTCAATGGAATTAACAGAAGCAGTTCAATTCCCGAAACCAATCAACGAATGTCTTAATAATAAAGTGATTAAACTTCCTGATGAAATAACACAAGATAAAACTAAAATATTTAATAACAAATCAATGGAGATAAGTGAAACGATTCCTATTTGTAATAAAAGTTATCAACCGTCAACTAAGAATGAAAAGGTACATGATGTAAACACGAAGAATAGAACTAAATTGTTTTTAAATAATTCAATGGAATTAACAGAAGCAGTTCAATTCCCGAAACCAATCAACGAATGTCTTAATAATAAAGTGATTAAACTTCCTGATGAAATAACACAAGATAAAACTAAAATATTTAATAACAAATCAATGGAGATAAGTGAAACGATTCCTATTTGTAATAAAAGTTATCAACCGTCAACTAAGAATGAAAAGGTACATGATGTAAACACGAAGAATAGAACTAAATTGTTTTTAAATAATTCAATGGAATTAACAGAAGCAGTTCAATTCCCGAAACCAATCAACGAATGTCTTAATAATAAAGTGATTAAACTTCCTGATGAAATAACACAAGATAAAACTAAAATATTTAATAACAAATCAATGGAGATAAGTGAAACGATTCCTATTTGTAATAAAAGTTATCAACCGTCAACTAAGAATGAAAAGGTACATGATGTAAACACGAAGAATAGAACTAAATTGTTTTTAAATAATTCAATGGAATTAACAGAAGCAGTTCAATTCCCGAAACCAATCAACGAATGTCTTGATAAAGTGGTTGAACTTCCCGATCAGATAATACAAGATAAAACTAAACATTTTAATAACCAATCAATGGAGATAAGTGAAACGATTCCTATTTGTAATAAAAGTTATCAACCGTCAACTAAGAATGAAAAGGTACATGATGTAAACACGAAGAATAGAACTAAATTGTATTTAAATAATTCAATGGAATTAACAGAAGCAGTTCAATTCCCGAAACCAATCAACGAATGTCTTAATAATAAAGTGATTAAACTTCCTGATGAGGAACAAATAACACAAGATAAAAGTAAACATTTTAACAACAAATCAATGGAAATAGCAGAAGTCGTTCCTGTTCATAAGAATTATCTTAACGTAAATACAGTAAATATAATGCCTAATAATCAAGAAAACCAAGACATTTTTATGAAGAATTTGACAAATAATACAATCATTAAGCGTAATGCTAATACAGAAATGTTAATCGATAACAAATTAGAGAAAATTCATGATAATAATGAAAAAATAATTGATAATTCTTCCAAATTAATACAAGATCGAGGTAATAATTTTATGAATAAATCAATAGCAAGTTTAATGACAGATACAATTTATGACAAGAATCGTCAAGCTGCTATTAATATAGAAAATAAATTAGATGAAACAGAAAAGGAGAAAACAAATATGTTCTTAAATAATTCTAACGAATTAACAGAAGCAGTTCCAATTCATCACAGAATTCATGAATCTGAAAATAATATAAATAAAATTGTTTGTAAATCTACATGTACAAGTAAAAGATTGCCTGATAAGCCAATGGAGTTAACTGAATTCACTCCAATTCATAATGTTGGCAAGTTCAATGCTACTAATACTGACAATAATCTACAAGGCTTATTACATGAAAGAACATCAATATGTAATAATGCAAGGATGAAAAATAATAAATGCTCAACATTTCACATGGATAGTGAACTCCCTAGATGTAGTATTATAAAAAACTTGGATGCATCATTAGATAAAAATGCACTTTGTAATACTCTTGCATCCAAAATATTTCCAGTTTTTGAACAAATTAACAAAAATATTTCAACATTGCCATCAGAACGAAATTTCATTGGCAATACAAAATCAGATGAAAGTTTGAAAATAATGAAAAATACATCGTTAGATAAACATTCTGAGTTTACTACAACTAATCGGTATAGTAGATCTGCAGAAAACCTACTATATAAATCAACGCATGAAACAAACAATGAATTAAATATGTCAGTCGATACTTCCAAAATTAATCATGTACATCCATTTATTAATGAAACTAACTCAGGTATGTAAAATATTAAATATTTTCGCACCTTAAGAAAATAATGATTTTAAAAATTATAGTTACGTATTAAAATACGTATTTATTCTATTGTCGTTTATAACAGATGTTTGTCCAAAATTTGATTTAGTTATTTTATTTTTATTTTTATTTTTTTTTTTCGAGAAATTCTTACATCTAAGAATAAATTCTTGCGCGAACCTCTATATTTTTTATTAAAATTAATCCTTAAAAAAACTAATGAAATGTAAAAATAAATTTTTATAAATAAGCTTTATGGAGAAAAATATGTCTATTTTAAATAAAATTCCTTCATAATCAATATCTTAAATTATACAATCCGATAAGAAAATTCCAAAATTCTCAAAAAATGCCAATGATAATGTATAAATTGCTTTAAATAAATCGACAGATGTTACAAAAAATATTCAAACTGGCAAATCAATTTCTGCTTTCGATTCGAAGAAGGAAAATTATAATCCAAACGATGATGAAAATACAAAGATATTTTTAAATAAATCAATGGAACTGACAGAAGCTATCGCTACAGGTAATTGTAAATAACCATCTCTTATTCACACAAAAATTATACTTAGTAAAGAAACTCAAATGCAATATCAATTTTGTCGAATATTAAACACATTGATTATAACTCCAAATTCCTAACATCCCAATATTTTCTTCATTTAAAGGCGATCCGTATTTACAAGATAATAAAATTAAGGAAGACTTGCAGATAGATTCAAGGAATATTTATCATGATTCATCTATGGAAATGACATTAGGGTTGCCTAGTATTTCATCTCAACCTAAGCATAATATACATAAAGGAAATGATAATGCATTGGTCGTTAAAACTGTGCAATTTTCTTACGATAGACTAGACACCTTGCGAAATACATTAGAAGCTTCACCTGAATTGGAAGATGACAGAAGTGATAACGTAAACAGTAATAAAAAAAATGCAAGCTGTCAACAAGTTGAACGTGATTCTATACAAGTTTTTCATGATATTTCAATGGAGGATACCTTAGGACCTACAATCTTAACGAATTCTACAAACAACTTAACAAAATTGAATCACTATACTAATCAAAGTATTTTATCAAGTAACATTGATATGATGTCAAATTCTATAAATGGCTCAAAAAATTTTAACAAAGAAAATAATTACGAGCCTTCGATTAGATATAGTAATAGGGAAGAATCATTTCATAGAATAACATCAGATGAATTAAATACTTTATGTGCGTCTATGAATTTACCAACTCTGAGATGCTCTAGAAGCGAATCCGTACAAAATAACTACATTTCATTATATAATGATGCAAGCGTGCACAGAAATTCATTTAAAAATAATACGAATTTTCAGCAACAACCGACACACACAAGCAATACTTTTTCCGAAGAAAAAGAAGATTTTAATAATCGTATAGGAGCTTGCGAAAGTTTTAATAAAGGAAGTAATTTTCAAGTATTTTGCGATGCCGATAGCGGGGAACGAGATAAAAATTTTTCAGCAATACAAACGAATCCGGTAGATAATTGTGTAAAAGGAAAAAATTTCGATTATGAAAAATATCAGCAACGGTGCGATAAAGTTACAGTTTATCATGATGATTCAATAGAGATGCGTAAAAATTTAGAATCCCCAAATAAATCGGTTTATCGTAATAATGTTTCAGATTATGTTTCCAGTGTTAATCCATCTATTAAAATTGCCAATAATTTTCATAACATTAATAATGAAAGCAATCGCAAGGTTTCATCCGTACATACGACTAATTCACAAGCTATAATAAAACTGCCAATCGGCAATATTAATAATACGCATTATGACTTAAGTCCATCAAGAAGTCAGACATGTGCTGCAAACTGTACTAGGGAAATGCATGAGAGAATCGATCATTACGATCGGAATAATAAAACATTATCTGATGGTGTAAATACCCGTACCGATGTACAACGAAATATTTGTGATAATACAGAAAATGAAAGATTTAAAAATAGGGAAATTCAAATTTATCACGATACTTCAATGGAATTAACTACTGACCTGCCCAAATCATTAAACACCAATAAACAAGTGAAAAAATTAAATGAAACATCATTAAATAAAAATAACATTGCATCAAATTTAAGTGAAATTATGAATACTTCTATGGAAATTTCTATTAATCCTGATAAAGATAAAAATAATGAAATATTAAAATCGGAGCAAACTTTAAGTAGAATACCATCAGATAATACAGATATATTGTTAGCGACTATGGGTTTTAAAACGGAATTATCACATCCATTAATCATTAATGATAAAACTACAATAAAAGTTTTAAATAATCCTTTATTGAATAAAACATATCACGTTGATTCGCGTACTGATATAAACAATGAAATTGAATTTAATAAAACAAAAATTGTATGTTTAAATACTCGGGATGAAAATGAAAGTATAACAACTGATACGGGCGATGATTATCAGCGAAATAAGACAGAGAATGTAATTGAAAATATGGAAATCCCTATAATTCCGAATGACGGTGAAGTCAACTGTACCGCCGAAGATTATTTAGATAAAAGGGATATGGAGATTAGTGAGAAAATCTATTTATTACCAGAAAATTATTCGAAAGAGCTTGAAGAAATTGAACCTCCATCGTTTTTATGCTCGGATAGTATTCAAGATGATTCATGTAAAAATATGTCATTTGAAAATGATCGTTCAAATACATTGTCACAAGATTTGAATGAAAAACATACGAATTCATTGATTTTGGAAGCAAAAAATAACAACACAAAAATGGAGCATTTAGAGAGTAATCAAGAAACTTTAACAGAAAATTTAAAAAGAAACTCGAGTAGCGATTCAGACAGTTTGTCCGAACAATTACGAAAGAAATTATGCAAACGATCTCCTGTGAAAATTTGTAGCCGTAAACAAATTAATAATCCTGCAATTTGTGAAAATAACGAAATGGAGAAATCCCTTGCACCTATTTTATTATTGATAGAAGATATTAAAAATTATGAAAAAAGGCATGTACCGAAAGAATAATATTACATACAGTAATGTTTTTTGGATTTAATTTAGAATTATTATATTTTAGGAATGACTGCATTTGGTCCATACGAACAATAAGTGAAAAAACGATTATAATAGATTTTATAACAAAGTCATTTGTAATTGTTATAAGATTAAATGATATGAAAAATGCCTTCGTTCAAGATATCAAACAATTAGAAGTTTTCTCACGACTTTCTGGTAATTATTTTATTAATTTTATTTATTAAACTAATTTAATTTTAATTAAGAATAAAAATTCATTTGTTCCAGCCAATTCAAAAAATAATTTACTAAAAGTTGTACATAATCTATTATTGTTAAAATTGAAACCAACAGAAATGTTAGAAAAATATAAAATGTATGAACATATTTTACCATTACTAGAATACATATCGAGTGAAGTTATTTTTGCTATGAATTTTATGTTCGATCTGAAACGAATAGAAGCATTACATCTATTAAGCATAGATAATGAAAGGTAAGCCATGGACATACGTTTATAAATTTATAGAATATTATTAATAAAATTTTCTTTTTAGGATAAATTTTATGGTAGCATCTAGGAAGGCAAATATAATATTAAAAGTCTCATTAATAATAAAGATTTTTAAAGAAATCGGTCCAAATGATATTAATGTAGCATGCATTTTAGGTGATATTAGGTAAACTCTGAGCTCTCTACTTTTATAAATCAATGGCGCTTCAAATGCTAAATTCATTGTCTTTGTTTTACAGAAAAACCGATATTATGCAATTAATAATAAACATAAAAAGAGATTATAAATTTCTAAGCAGATATATAAATGATATTAAAGACTATATTACACTGATGGAAGAATCTACATGTTTAAATAGATAATAAATTATGAATTTATGTTAAATTAAGTTTCTACAATTTTGTATAATTTTTCAAATAATTCAATAAGACTGTAAAATATATTTTGTAAATAAATTTATATGTGATTATAGAAAAGCGCATTTATTATGTAAACAATAATCAACATCTACATGAACTATTATAAATTTATATACATCCTTAATAGCTACACGCAACTAAATAATAGTACAAATTAATTTCAGTTTAATTATAAATTTCAATGATATTATTCATTTACAATTCAAACTGCACTACATAGATAACCATTTATTGTTCATTAAAGCAATGTTCATGCATCGCTATCATCACTATCACAATTGAAATCAGCTGCATTATCGCTATTTTCTTCTTCCATCATTCTTGCTTTATACTTTGCATACATATATCCATATTTGTCCACGTCATGCTCATCGAGCCCATAAACAATGTCATCGCTATCACTTGATAACGTATTTTCAATATCTAAATTCCTCATGGCATTTTTTATACTATTTTCTGCAAATGATTCTTCAGAATTGTCCGAATCTGGATAATCATTTTTCCAATTTGACTCGGAATTTGAATCTTCCGAGTCGCCCTCGTCTTCATTTTCTTTATTATAATAATCCTCGAAAACCAAATCATTTTCCACAGGTTGAACGGATAATAAATTTTCAAGTTGTAAGACTTCTTCTGTTTGAGTATAATATAAATCATAAACGTAGTCAATGTCGGTCTACAAATACAAAAAATACAATTATTACAATAAATCCAATCACTTATAATTGCAACTAAATGAATATTATTAACCTTATCGTTAACAATGGCCTTAGTATCTTCTACGTCGATAATATTAACAATACTTTCTTCAAAATTTTCAACCAAAGAAGTATCTAATGAACGCAAATTACTAATAATTTTATACCGATTTTCATTAGATTCTTGCCTTGTTTTCTCTCGTGCCTTTTTTGTAATATCAACGATATGCTGCTTAAAGTTATTTTTTAAAACATCTTTACTGAAAGTTTTCGTTATGTGTTTGACAATACTATCTTCCTAAAATTACATCAAATGCATAACAATGTACAATAAAAATTTATGAATAAAAATTAGACTTAAACTTAAAAGAAATATATTGTATTATACTTGTTTTTCAACAGTTCCTGCAAATTTGACGATTGCAGTTAACGGGGTGATTTCATCGGATTCTATTTTCTGTCGTTTACATGAAATCAAAAGAGCATCCAATGGTTCTTCATCCTTTTTCCGCTTCACTCGTAAAATTGCTGCCATTTTTTATTTACACCAACTGATATAAACGTCAATCGTGTTAAAAGATTAAACCGACAAGTTGTTGTGTGACACAAGAGGTTAGAAAATTCAAAAGTCTGTAATGTAATAATAATCATCATAATAATTATTGCCAACTTACCACGTAGCACTGACAGTTTAGTATCGAAGATGAGCTTCGTTCGATGATGTAATTTAAAAATTTTCAATATTTTGAAATATTGAACTGAAGTTCTTTTAAGTGAAAAGGATTTTACAAAATCAAAAAATGAATAAAACTTCTACTAAGAGGAAAATTAAGAAAGAAGAATTAACAGAAATGGTGCCACCACGTAAGCGTTTAAAAATTTCTGAAATAATACAAAATAACATTGTTCAAGAAGAAAATAATAATCTGACGCATTTTAATGTATGTAAATTAATTCAATTCATCGCCACCCTTGATACGCATTAAATTTTATAAATTCTTTTTTATCCAATTTTATATCCAATATAGTACGGAATTGCTAAAAGACGCAATAAATTGTTGACAGCTATGCATTTAAAAAAACGATATAAGTATTATTGTAAAAAACATGATACTACATATTTGGTACAAAGCGCACGAGAACGAGTAAAAAGTGCCTCAAAAGAAAATCGTAACAAATTTATTCAAAGCTTTCGAACACTTAACGTATCTACAAATTCAGATGTTTCTATAAATGAAAATAGTGTTCGCATTGCAAACAATGATCGCAATTCAAGCAAACGTAAAGATATTTTAACGAATAATCAGGTAATTAATTAGCATTATTAAAAATCTTAAATTATTAAAAATTTAAATGCTTTAATTTTTTTTTGGAACTTTTATAAATTTTTACTAAAATATTCTTTATTAATTTATAATATTTAATTTATAAAAGAGTTAAATGCACATAAAATTGCACATCGACCTACTTATTCAGATTTTTCATATATATTAAGTAAAGTTGCAATACACAATATCATTACCATACACTATCAATTTTATAAGAATTTATGCTAAACGCATTTCAATTTGATATCACAATCAATCTCATAATAATAAAAATAAATATCTTCTTTAATAGTACTGATTTTTAATTATAATTTTAATTCTACTTTTAAAACGTTGATTTAATATTTTCTGAATATTTTTGTTTCAAAGCTTAAATCAAAATTTATTTAATTATACTTGTCATTTTTCACTATAAAGTGACAAGATTGTTTTTAAATTTAAGAAATTCATGAAATTTATTTCATTCTAATTAGAAACTTGATGAACCTATTCTTACATATAATGTCAATGCATATGAATATATATAAATATATATATATATATATATATATATATATATATTATATATAAATATTATTATATAATATAGCATTATATATACGTTATAAGCAATAAAATATACAAACCCTGTGCGTGTTTTTTTATACACGTATTATGCACACTAAAGATTATTGTGTAATTTTATACGAATGAATAACTAACTCCTTACACAAATAAAAATCACTTGAATGATTTTTTTATATTATAATTTTACTCTAAAGCTTGTTGTCCAAAGTGTTCTTTTAATTTTATGTTATAGTTTTTTTTTTTTTTTTTATATATATAATGTATTGTTATTATAAAGTTTTTTATAAAGAGTGTGGAAAAAAATTCGAAGAATGATTTTTTTTTCATCTGTTTATATACACAAAAGTGATCAATTATACGGTGTTTGAATTACTTTACTTTATCTGTGAAAAATTTATATAAATATGTACTATCAGTAGTAAACATTCTTACATATATTTTATAACTGAACAAATCAATCGAATCACCTATACACAATAGGGGAAATATGTTTATTAAATTAGAAAGTAGCAAGCATACGAAAAATAAATTAAAAAAAGCTTAACCTGCTTTACCGTTTTCTTCTACAATGCAAAAATGAGAAGTTTTTTTACATTAAGTCTATAAAAAAAAAAAAAAAAAAAAAAAAAAAAAAAAAAAAATATTAAAGGAATATTTAATTTTTCAGGAGTTGTATACCCGAAAGCAAAAGTTATTTTACAATTATTACATCCAATTATAATTTTATCTAATTATGTAGATATAATGAATAAAATCTAATTGTAATTTATAAATAATAATTTAAATAATGCTTATCGTTAAGTTTTGTTTTAACAATACTTTCCTTTCAAATTTTTTCTCATGACAATTAAAATAATATATATAATTGAACAATAACTGCTGTCGTATGTTCTTTTATTTATATTACTAGCGTTCATATTACTATTAAAATTAAAAATATCGATGGCTTTAATGTTAAGTAACGAAATAGAACTAAAATAATAAAAATTCCAAGAACTCATATGCTCTAAAATATCATTTTCTAAATGTGTATAATTTCATGGATGATTTATTATCTTCATAGACGCTTAGTGTTTTATTATTTTCATTTTAGCTCGAATTCAGTGCTAATGCTGATGTTGTTCTTAAAGGAAATCCGCTTGTAACACAAAAATCGCTGCCGACACTAACAGATTCGCAGACAAATTTAATCAGAAATAGTGCAGTATTTGACGAAAACAAAGACGAGGATAGTGACTTTGGCGATGATTACGAAGAAGCTTCTTTTAGAAATCGAAAAATTATAAAATGTCTGATTGTGAAAAAGAATTCTGAATCAAATATTATTTTCAGCAAGGATGAAGATTTTAGCGAAAGCGACTTTGATGATGAAACAAGTGATTGTGATTGCGATTGCTATTATCATGAAAATTTTAAAAATAACTTTCACAATTATGAATACGAATCGTCATCGGATGACGATATGAAATCGTTATCCGATACTTTGCTCAACGAATCAAGCTTTCGTGAAAATAAAAAATCTAAATTAACGCTATAAGGTACGAAATTAGAAAAGACATCCGATTAAATGTTGCAGAATTTTATTCATACGCTTATATATTTATTACATATTTATATAGATATAATCTTGTGTAAAATTCATCTATCAAAATAAAAACAATAAACGTAAATCTAAAATGTTGAGACTTTGACGGAGAGAAAAGGGGTAAGGGACTTTAGGAAATGATCACACATGCCAAAATCGAGAAACGCTTCTTTATAACAGATTAAATTGATTGAATTTCGTAAGGTGGACGTACTCTGCTCTTCTTTTCATTCAAACTTTATTTTAAACAATAACACAAGACACTTGCGATATCAAATTCTATGCACTTGTTTATCTCTGCACAGAGTACAATCTCCATTAGCGATCAATCCATACGTTGCTTTAAAAAAAGTTCATTGCAGAATGCTATGCTATAATCTTTCGTTTCTCAAGTTCATACAATAATTAATTGATATCACAATCGATCGATACTGGCGCACGTTTATTTTATTACTTTTTTTTCTTCTTCACACTTCCCTCTTTTCGTCTTTTCACTCAAATGCATAGCCCACACTCACGCCGCATAAGAAATAGTGTCATTGTAAAATGCTCGCGCGAAGAAATTTATGAATTTCCATGATTTTTCATCGTATGATATGAGTAGTACACTGCGTATACATGTAACACTGGCCTTAAAATCTAATTTATACATTTGCACCTCTCCAGATGAAAGTGCTCGCAACTCCGGCGCGCTTCTCAACTTAATAACTTATGTACGAACAAAATTTTTCTTATTTTTAGTCTCCGTAAAGTATCAGACGAGTCTTTCTGACGTTTAACTTTAGATTTAATAATCAAAAAGCAAAAAAACAAAAAAAAACAAAAAAAACAAAAAAAAAACAAAACAAAAAACAAAAACAAAAACAAAAAAAAGTAAAAAGAAAAGGCAGTTTAACAAGAAAATATCAAGACTTAACTAGAGTCTATCTGAGATTTTGCAGAGACTTGATCAACGAGTGCGACGAACTATGAAATCGCTTTCCAAACGCACGAGAGTCCGAGCATACTTTTATTATTAGAGGCGCTTACTTATTTGTTATTATGTAATAATATATTAAATGTTATATTGCAACATAACTTAACAGATTCACAAACTGAGATTGATATCATTCATGATAGCATTCTTTTTTTTTCCTACGAATTTTAATACTCTACTCTCCTCTACTGTACAACATTTTACATTCGGCCGTTTCAGTTAAAGCTCATTTGAGCCTTAAGTATCTTTATTATGCTGCGAGATTATTCAAGAACCATGAGATTGCACACCTTTATTGTTTTTTTCTTTTCTTTTTTCATCATTAATAGGAGTTAATTCAAGATCTTCGTTTTAAAATTAATGCGAGACTCATCATCTAAATCGATCGAGGATAGAAAAATGTTTAAAATTACAATAATCGAATTTTGAGAGTAAATTATAATTTTCAAAAAAAAAAAAAAAAAAAAAAAAAAAAAATATTAAAACAAAAAAAGACATAAAATAAAATAAAACCACTTATACATAACTGTAGAACGTTTTTAAATTTGTGCAATATATTAAACAATAATTATTTACAAATGCATTTTTCATTGATAGTTTTAATAATATTTTACTTTATTTTAATAACATCTAAAATGAAATAGCTCTAATCTTCTCCTCGATCAAATTTTTTTTTTGTTTTTTTTTTTGTTTTTAATTAGAGATCATATTCATTCTCATTATTGTTTTCTTTCATTCTCCATTGCTCTTACTCTCTCATTCTCTCAATATCATTCGCTTGCCCTCCCTCTTCTCACTCTCATTCCATCACTCTCTCGTTCACGCACTCTCTCTCTCTCTCTCTCTCTCTCTCTGTCTCGCTCTCTCTATCCTGTTTTCTCGCGATTTCGCTTTATTCTCCCACTTTCTTGCTTACTAGTCATTTTTATATACAGCTCGATATAACAGTCCTATAATCTTAATAAGTTTTTCCTTGTCTGACACGCGAGCGTCTAACGTCTGCGCGTCAACTGAAAAAACATAATGCCGTATTTACACTGTTTTGTTGGTAATTCGAATCTTACATATACGAAGAATTAATTCCCTGGATCAACGAAAATAAAAAAAAAAAAAAAAAAAAAAAAAAAAAAAATTAAAAATAAAATAAAATAAAGTAAAATAAAAATAAAAAACATCACACAAACATTATTCAACTAAATCGACAAATTGTTATTCTTTAATGTATAGATAAACTGGCAACAAGTAACTGACAAGTCCTATGACATTGCTCAAGTGAGCACTTCGCTCGGGTTCTTGTAATCGAGACTTGAAAAGTGAAGGACGTGTAAGGTTCAAGAGAAGATTATAAAGAAAATGAGATCCATAAGATTTTTAAAAACAGGCACAATCAACTGCAAAGAAACTGGGAGGAAAAGAGCTCTCTTAAGTTCTAGTATTTGTTGCTGTATAAAGTGATTTATCATCGGAGAGGCTGTAAGACGATGGTTTTCTAAATCAAGCTTAACGACTTGAAATATAATCAATTGCTACATCAAACGCGCGCTTTCGTTCGTACCTATTACGTTGGGCAAAATTTAATTCTCTCTCTCTCTCTCTCTCTCTCTCTCTCTCTCTCTCTCTTTAATACTGCAACTGTAATTAATCGAAAATATCTGAATTTCGCTTCCACGTCATCTTCAATAATGTCTCATTAAATAGGGTGAACGTGATTTATAATTTATATTAATGTGTATATTAGAAATGAGGAAATATGGCCATTATAAAGCAACGACGTCACATTAGCTTGGCATGAAAATTTAATTTTCGAACCGTAGAGGTTCTTTCCTTCCAAAGACATTTCACAAATGATAGTAAATTAAAAGCCATCCACGTAAGATTCATCGCCATTATTATCAGACTTTATTCGCTCGATATCGGACAAATCGACATTCCACGATACCATAGAACGATCAAGAATTAAAATCATCTCATCGAGCTGCCAGTCTCTCCGACAACTCCTTCACAAATCTTCGCAAAAGCAATATTAATGCATTAATTAATACCGCCGCGGGAAGTGCCATTGCTCGGAATTCACTTTCTCATTGGCCGTAAAATAAATAAAAAATCGCTTCACGTTTGAAAATGCAATTTTCTCCAAAATCGTGTTGCGCTTTACGCTTTATGAAAGAGCGAATGCACACGTGGATAATCCACGGCGGCAGCTAGTGATAAAAACGAAAGACAGGTAGTAAAGAACAAAAGAAGAAGAAGAAGAAGAAGAAGAAGAAGAAGAAGAAGAAGAAGAAGAAGAAGAAGAAGAAGAAGAAGAAGAAGAAGAAGAAGAAGAAGAAGAAGAAGAAGAAGAAGAAGAAGAAGAAGAAGAAGAAGAAGAAGAAGAAGAAGAAGAAGAAGAAGAAGAAGAAGAAGAAGAAGAAGAAGAAGAAGAAGAAGAAGAAGAAGAAGAAGAAGAAGAAGAAGAAGAAGAAGAAGAAGAAGAAGAAGAAGAAGAAGAAGAAGAAGAAGAAGAAGAAGAAGAAGAAGAAGAAGAAGAAGAAGAAGAAGAAGAAGAAGAAGAAGAAGAAGAAGAAGAAGAAGAAGAAGAAGAAGAAGAAGAAGAAGAAGAAGAAGAAGAAGAAGAAGAAGAAGAAGAAGAAGAAGAAGAAGAAGAAGAAGAAGAAGAAGAAGAAGACAGATCGAGAGAGATATCTATACAAATAGGGCGGTGACGCGCACTTAAAGTACAGAAGCTTCGGTGCGAGCCGCGGGTGCTGTGGCCGTTGGGGCGTTTGCCGCCGTTGCCGCGTTGTTATTGTTGTTGTTGTTGTTGTTGTTGTTGCTAGCTTCGCCGGCGTGACTCGAGCAGTAGAACTTCTTGTGGGCAATAAAGGTGCTCAGGTAGTTGAAGCTTATGTCGCAGGAGCGGCAGTAGCGCGGGCCGCTCTTGCTCGCGTCGAGGCTCTCCTCCGGCGGGGGCGTGTCCTCGCGTTCCTGCTTCACCTTGCCGGGTATGGCGGACGCGACGGTTGGCGAGGGAGAAGCAGCCGGGGACGTGATGGCCGGTGTCGGCTGGGGGCTTTTGCGCACCGGTGGCTCGCTCTTGCCGTTCACTTGCTGAGAGTCTACGGGGATCTCCTCCGGAGTCGTGGCCGGCGCGGGCTCCGGTGTCGGCGCCGTCACGTCGTCCTCCAGCACGCACGTTATGTAATTCTCCTCCTGAAAGTTCAATTCATTCAATTTTCCGGTCGTTTAACGGCCAAATCGGTTCCGCGACCAATCGATGCCGCGATCATCGACATCTTCGCCAATGTTCTTCGCTTTTGAAAAATCATCTTACCAATATTTGATTTATTGGTTTAAAACACTATTATTAATTGTTTTCCAAAAGTCCACTTGGTACAAGCGACAGTATGCATGATAAATGAAAGGAAAAATAATTAACGCTCAGCCATTATTTATTTATGCTCTATTAAATAATTATTGCGATCATCATTGATAGACGTACGGGCCGATAATTACAAGATAATGACCGTAGATAATGCCGTTAAGTATAATTTTATAATATATACGATACTTTTTTTTTTTCTTTTTTTTTTTTTTTGTATAAGATAGAAGATTAATCGAGAATCTGTGAGAATGTCGTAGTGTTGCGTAGTTGGCTCGTCTATATAAGATTGAATGTAGCTTTGTGGGAAACGTACAACATTACGTACAAACTTTATCAATTTAAAAAAAAAAGTTTTTTTTTTTTTTTTTTTGTATTTCATACCAGTAATTTAATCCTTTTATCTCTGAATGTATCTATTATTTTAATTTATTGCATAGGATAGATAAAAAGTTCAAGTTTATCTATCTTATCTGAAAGAAAACGCATCCAACAGTGGAGTTTACTTTAAAAGTATTTTGATGATTACTCGCGGAACATGTATCACTTACGTTTATTATATAATTTTTAAGATAATAAGCAGCGAGTCGTCTATGTGAAATGTTTGTTGGAAATTAGAGTAAATAAATTTATCTCGAATTGCGCCATTGCGTGAGACTGTTTAGATGAAGTTGCAAAGACAAGCAACGAAATACGTGACAAAATGTCGTGCATTGCAGGGTTGTGGAGAGGGTTGGAGAGTGGCGGTGTGGTAGGGCATGAAGGGGGCTCAGCGGTGTCCCGATGTAGCGAGGAGGCAGTGAGGCTCACTTGGCGCACAATGCACGATACAAAGAGGACTGGCGTGGGAGAGAGAAAGAAACGCGCCTGGGCTACGTAGCGTACCTGAAGGTCGGCTCCGCGTTTCTCAAAGTGCATCCTGATGTGCGTCCTCATACCGCGGAGCGTGTTGCCCTTGTAGCGGCATATCGTGCAGCGGAAGGCCTTGACCCCCTGGTGGGAATCCATGTGGCGCTGGGCCGCACCAGCGGTCGGGCTGACGGCCCCGCAAACCGGGCATCGCCATCCTCCCGTCTGGCCACTCGTACAGGTGTGTGCGACGCCAGGCTCGATCGCCGTCTACCGGGTGAGCAACAAGTTACCGTGAGATCGGCTTCCTCCCCGTTTTATCCTAGTGCCTTGGCCTCTCTACATCAAATACGACTGGCCGGTTGCTTTTCTCAAAGCGGTCACGGTTTCATACAAATTGCCGGCCAAAGATAAGTAGCCGACTAACCGATGCTCACATATTCTCTCTCTCTCTCTCTCTCTCTTCTTCTTCTTCTTCTTCTTCTTCTTCTTCATTTTATTAATTTTTTTCTTTACTTTTTTTATCGTTATGCTGCTTTTAATTTAATTTACTTTACGATAGCGCGCTCGAATGCAATGTTTAAGGAAATGAGCCGTTTGATATTGATATTGCGACGCGCGAACCGTTATAATAATCGAAGGCTCTCTCGTTGAAGAGAAGACGTTTAAGGGAATGCGAGAAACAAGCGATAAGACGCGACTAAATTTTTGTGAACAAACGGTGTACTCGGCTCGCGCGTAATTAAGCAGGATCTCGGTGGATAATTGGCTTCCTTAAAAATCTCTGTGTTACTACGGCTGCTAAAGGAACTCAAAGTTACACCGAGCGTGGGAGGTCGAGCATCATTGAACACGGCAGAATTACTTTATGGGCGGGGGCGGTGGACGAACCTTGCATTTGGGGCAGCGGGAGTGATGATCCTGGGAGTCGGGACGTTTTGGACAGTAGAACGCCTGGTGGGCCACGAGATTGTCCATTGAAGCGAACTTAATGCCGCAGGCCGCGCAGATTAGCTGGACCAGGGGCGGCGATGGTGTACCTGGTGGCGGAGGACTCGTCACGCTGCTCTCGCGCGCCTGGCAGTAGTGCTTCTTGTGGGCGACGAAGTTCTCGTGGCGGCAGAACACTATGTTGCACTCTTTGCATCTGTAAGGTAGGCAATGGCCTCTGTAACGGATCCATAAGGGAATGTAATGGTGTCGTTCGTCGAGATGGAAGTGTTCGGAGGCACGATTAATGAGGTCAGATGATCGGCCGGGCTTGTCGAACGATTAAGAGTATCGCGAATCGACGACTTTCGCCGACAATAACGTAAGGAGGGTAGCTTACATACATAAAATTGTTGTACTCTCGGCCGCGAAATGGACGTCGCGTCGGCATATGCGCGATCGACACATCATTATTATAATACTACGGCAAAGCCAAGCCAAGTCATTTGCACATTGAATACAAGTACTAGTGGACATACACCGAGCCAATCCGGGCTTACATCGATTTTATGATGAACAACGCGAGATAACGTTGATTCTTCTTTGTTCGTTTAAAGATTAATGCAACGTCAATTGTGCTTTTAGCCATTTCATTTTAAGATCAAGATTCTAAATCTTACCTGCCGAATGCTTCAACCTAATGATTTTCATTAATTATAAAGCTGTATTTTGGCAATGTATTTATTAACCGTGCCCGATTATTCGATTATTCGATTATTCGATTATTCGATAGGAACGAGCACCGTAAGCGGCTAGATTGTCTATTAGTTTAGTTAGCCTAACGTTCCGACGTTCCAAATAAGAATCGATGGACAGTTGAGCATGACGACGACAGCCAATGATCATAGGACCGGTAAACACGAGTTGCGGCTAATAGCTAATAAAACCTGCATTATCCATCCAACGATTTACCTCTAAATTAAGCGCAACGACACATAAAGCCAATAAAAGTCAATTAACAAAATAAACATAAGCAGCGGGTCCTCTACCTGGATACGCCCTGCTTGACGAGGACTCCGGGAACAGGTGGTGGCGGCAGCTCGGCAAGTCTTAGCGCGAGCTCGGTAGGTGGCGTGGGCGGGATCCGCTCGGGCGCCTGTATCGTCGGCAAGGACCTCGTCCGCGGACTCGCACTGCCTCTAGACCTTGGACTACCTGGCGGTGGTGGCAGCGACGAGGACAGAGGCGAGACTCGATTCTCCTTCTCGTGATCCTGCTCGTAATAAAAATTTAAAAACCGGATTAGCAGCTCGCTACTTCTTACCCGCATACGACTCCTTACACTAATGTTGTAGTAACTTTAATCGTAATATGGAAAAAATGGTGCCTTCGACGCTTAATCATTCGCGACTGGATAGAGGCGTTTCGGTACACTGATGTAATTGCAATGAGTGGAGATGCGATCGAGCGTTATCGCGTCTTACCAAGAGTCGCGGTGTTCGAGCGAGCGATCGGAGAATTTGTCGAAGCGCGCTCGACGAAGGCTAAATAATTGGGTGATGGGAAATGATAAATATAGAGCTCGTACTTACCGGTGATCTTCGGACGCTGAGGTCGAGGGGCGCAGAGGCTGCGGAATTGGGCGAGTTGGTGGTCGCCGGGGCCACGGGGGCGGGCGTCGCGGGCTTATTAGCCGCCCTTAGGACGCTAGAGGCGACGGGGCCGGCAGCGGGTGACTCCATGACGACACCCTGGGGCATGGCCGGGCCGAGGCTCGGGGCCTGGGTCGTCGCGGGACTTGCGCTGCTCGCGAGGCCGCGCGCCATTGGCTGCAGGGTGCCGTTCGGCAGGAGAAAGCAGGGCGTGTCAGGAGCCGGGAGTCCCGGCGCCGCCAGGACCGAGGCTCCGCGCACTAGCGAGTACGGCACGATGAGGATGGGGTTGGTCGGTAGGGCGAGGCAGGGCTGCGGCGGCGGTGAGTCGCCCGGGCTCGAGCTCGTCGGGGGCGAGCCCTTGATCGAGGAGGCACTGGCCGAGGAAGTCGGAGGCGTGTCCTTCACCACATGCCTCGTGCTGCAGTAATGGGTCTTGTGGGCCCTGTACGTCTTGAGCGAGCTGAACCTGGGGTTGGCGAGAGACGCAGAGCGAGAGAGACAACGATGAAATTAAGTTTGTCACTTCCGTGTAGATATCGATGGCTGGCAGTTGGTAGGTACAGTAATTTTATTATTGGTAATAATTGGATAATTTTGTAATGTATTGGGAAAGGAAAGGGTCCAATTGTTAAAATAATGCCAGTGCCGTTTAATTTAATCTATTCATTGTACTTGTTCAATCATTATCCCTTTATAAGGCAATATCTCGCGAAAGCGTAATTAGATAATGATATTTAGCAAATATATCGCGATAATATGATTGAATTAATTTTTTTTTTTTTTCGGATAATTTGAACGGTCCCCCATAGACTTAGTATCCTTGACAGGATTATTGTTACGTTGTGAAGAACTTTATCATTAGACCGGTTATAAGTTTTGGTAATTCGATAATGCGAATGTCGTTCGCTCACAATATTTGGCATACAGAAGACGAAAATTCCATAACTTCTAGTATTCTATTAACTCTAATTAGTCTAATTAACAACACACGTCTAATTAACGTCATTTTATAACAAACCTAAATACATGTACACATCGATTAAGAATCTTTTACTAACGAATATAGTTGTATTACGTTATTCCCTAATGCATTGCCTGTTTATGTACAATATACAAACTAACAAATACGTCTTTTTATTGGAATTTCGTTGAAATTACTTCCATACGTAAAATAAGAAGAATTTTGTAATAGATTGTAATATTATCTCATAAAGCCGATTTTGAAAACGCGATCGTTAGATTTCTAATTTATCGTACGAAAATTTAATAACATATTCGACAAATTGGCTACATTTCGGCAGATTTAATGAGTAATTTCTTTCAAAACTATGTTATTTTCATCCATTATATAATGATTAATTTGAAGGCAATCTATACATTTACTTTCGCTCTGTAAATTTTCTACTCTCACCGAGTGTATTTTGATGTTGCTTTTTGTCAATATTATTTTGTCATCACTGCCAAATCATCTGAATTATAAAATCGATCGCTTAGAAGATTCGCAGGACTGCGAATATTTCCTTATATTCATGTGCTGTTTAGTTTTCATATTTTCTCTTAGTTTTTTCTTTTTAATTAAAATGTTCAATCGTACATTATAGAAATTTCAAGGAGACTTTATCATGCGAAGCTCAGGCATTTTCAGCGTTTGTTAATCTGCATCAACGTACTTGGCACTCGCTCGTGCTATTTCAGCAATTCAAAAATATTAATATTAAGTTTTTCAAACCGTCCACGCTTTACTATTCACAACACGATCCAAATCAAATTTTAATAAAACTTTCCGATGCTATCGCAGTATTAGAGACGGCTCAGCGAAGCGCATCACGACCTCAAATTTTCGTCCAAACTTTAAGAGATCAACGCACGCGATAGCTTTGGTAGACGACTAACGTAAAATTGTGACGCTACACTTTGTCACCGTCCTAAGGCGTAGTATCTCAATACTTTTGACGTGATCTTGTGAAATATGCCATTAGTCGTATATTTCAACAACAATGTGCCAGAGCAATTTCTTGGATATGTATGAAAGGAGAGCGAGAGAAGGCGAGATAAAAGTAGTGAAAACTAAACGAAACGAAACAGAAGGAAACAAAAGCGAAAATCAAAATAAAACAAAAGGAAGAAAGAATGAAAGAAAGGGAGAGGTAGAGGTAGAGGTAGAGAGAGAGAGAGAGGTAGATAGAGGTAGAGAGAGAGAGAGGTAGAGAGAGAGAGGTAGAGAGAGAGAGAGAGACACTGACAAAAATTGCGATGCACACAAGTTGCACTTTGAGGAAAAGTTGCTCATTTGATTTGATCGCGATTGGTTTCTTACGGGAATTAGGGTATTTGGGGTGGGTGGAGGGATGGAGTGGCAACCCATGCGTAAAACCACCTTGGATTTGGACTATGAATGTATGGATGTGTTTGTCGGGGACAGCCGAGTTATAGCACGCAAACCTGATGTCGCAGTTCCGGCAGTATCTCTCGGCCTCCTCGTTGAGCGAGCCGTTGGAGGGCAAAGCGCTGTTGTGCTGTCCGGGCGTCTGTGGTGAGTTGGCCGTGATCGCCGGGGCCGCCAGGACCTGCTGGACCGGCTGGACAGGCGAGGCCGCGTGCATACGCATGTGACGATTTAGGGAGACCTTCTTGTCGGCGCTGTACGAGCAGTGGGGGCAGGCGTAGGCTTTCCGCGACTCGAATTTGCAGTTGGTACCGGCGCCCGGTGGCCCGCCCTTCTCCTCGTCCTCCTCGTTGTTCTCGATGTCGCTCTCGAGTCGAGGCCGGTGTGAGCAGTAGTACTTTTGGTGGGCGTCCAAGGTACTCGCCGAGCTGAAGCGGATGCCGCAGGGCGGACAGACGAGGGCTGCGGGACGGGCCACTGTGCCTTCGACCCCGAGGCTGTCCTTGCTGTCATTCGGCAGGACGAACAAACGTCCCGTGGCTATTGCTGCAAAATAATCAGGATCGAAGCTCGTATGGATATTAAGCATTGAACCTCGATTACCGATCATCGCAGCCACTTCCCTTCACTTCCCTTCCCTTCCCTGCCCATCCCTTCTCTTCCCGTCCGGTCCCGTCTCATCCCATTCCTACCACTCATCGATACCCGTCATTATGACGCACTTTACAAGCGAATCCAGCAATTTAACGGAGTAGTAATTAGACGTTGTCGGCGTAATTGCTCGTACGACTGGACGGATGCTCGTGAATTATCAATTTGCGTAAATCGCGGCGGTTACGATGCTCGTAATGGGATTGCGCGCCGATAAAGAACGCGTGGCAAATAAAATTGATCGAAAAAGCTAAGGTGACTTTAGTGGAGCTGAAAAATTTTATCGGCACGAAAGTTACCAAATAGTACCAGGTAATTGGCGGGATGCTTAGACAAGTGTCACGGAGACGGTGTCGAATTCGCCGAGTTTCGTCTCAGAGAGAGAGAGAGAGAGAGAGAGAGAGAGAGAGAGAGAGAGACCAACGAATAATTACCGTTCTGAAGACCAGCGGAGAGCGGGGCCGTAGGGTTGGGTGGCGAGGCTGCGTTCTCGGGCTTGATGGTGAGGGCGGCGACGGCCTGGGGTCTAAGGGCCGGGTCCATCGCCAGACTAGCGTTCAGTCTCAGTCTCGGTGCAGCGACCTCGTCCTCGAGACGCGGCCTCTTGGTCTCGGCGGGCTCGTCCGGTCGAGAGGAGTCGTCCGAGTCGCGGCGCGCGTCCGTTCTGACACGGCGACCCGCGGCCGAGCAGCCGCTCGACGAGGACGAGGCGCGGCCACCGAGGCTCCCCTCGTCCTCGCGAGGTCCCGCCTCCTCGT